ACCTGACAAAAATACTAAAGGGCACATCAAAGTGGGACTGTGGAGAAGGAAGATCTTCGGCTTAAACCAAACCCATGTTAGTTACATCTAAAATCGAAAAGGTCAAGCATTTACAGAAAGCAAGTCTTTTTAGAGCCCAATGTGGTACATAATCCAAATGCACAAAATCTTAAAGACAACAGATAAGGTTGGTAGTTGCTACAGCCGTTAGCGCTGATTCAAGGACACAAAACCGCGAGAGTGGAATGGCTGGGAACAGCAAAGGGCCGGTGTAGATGAAGCTACGTAATCACCCGACGTAATGAAGGGTTCCTATGAGTATTACAGAGTGTCTCATCAGCAATAGAAAAGGTTTCATTAGCAGAAGTAGCAGTGACCCTGACTCGTTTGGACTGCTTAATATGTTCTGATGGTTTGTCAAAAAGATTTGAGCTTGTGACTGGATTCAAATCGAACAGCTATTTCCATAATTCCAAAGTGATGTTTCTATCACATTTACAATATATTGGTATCCCCATTAAACTTATGTCATTGCTGAAATGCATCACATTAATTTTGGTGACCCATCCTGACAGCAACACCTAATTCAATTTTTCCATTGGTCATGCTCATCCAATCAATGGAAACATAAGTGACTGAAGTGAAGCCTGCATCTTGGGACAGTTCAGTGGTCTGAAGGCAGCATTTCCCAACCCGGTCCTTGGGGATCCCCGGACAGTCCACATTATCGGGAGCAAAAACGTGGACAGTCTGTGGGTCGCTGAGGACCGGTTTGGGAAACACTGGTCTACGGACAAGGCAGGGCTTCTTAAAGGTGTAGCACAGATTTGAGTTTTTGAAGCACTAATGTGAAAAGTCCAAGAAAGGCTCTGAACTTGTGTAAAAATACATGCCATACACATGAAAAAGATAAGGGCAGCATATTGGAACCTGAAGAGGTGGATGTTAGCTGCAGATCCAGGTGAATCCAGTAGTGTTATTCATTGTGAAAGTGTCTGGGGTCCGTCAACTTGAAGCAAGGCTGGATTCAAAATAATATATTTGAGTTTCTTTTAAAAAAATATGTACACACAACTTTTAACCCAGTGATGGCATCTTTTTTTAAACGTCTTATTTTTATGTCTGTCTTTGCATTCAGGGAAATAAATTTATGCAATAACAAGATTAAGATCTTGACTTTGACAGAACCATGTTTTCTGGGTTAAAGGTCAGAGGTGAGGGATCTGGGGTGTCACACAGAGAGTATTAGGAATTTCAGGCCACAAAACAATGTTATAGATGCTGTGTGGTCACACGGATGTCTGACAGTCACGTCTGTACACCAGAAGTTAGGAATAAACAAACCGTGACAACAAACAACGGGGAAAAGAAGAAGGCCACATGGAAATTCAGGATTATTTATTTTAAAATAAGTTTTTATTTGGATCTTTTCTGTATTTGTTTCCATGCCATTAAAACCGCTTCCCTTCTCTCTATTTCCAAACAGCTAAAAACAGTGATTTTCCTTCACTGTCCTGATTTTCTGTTATTGAAGCTCATTTCTTCTTAAATAAATCTCTTTAATAGTAGATATCAGCATTATTTTCTAATTTACAAAAAATAAAATCAATGAAATGACAGCAAATCTGTTTACAAAATAAAACTACAAAAATAATGGCTTTTTTATATATGGAATGCCAACAGGAAAGGAGAAGTGAAGACTTCCCTTTCCGCAGATACAGGTGACCCCTGTTGCAAAGCAGCATGGGCTATTGAGTTCTTTTACATTCCCGTGACTTCCCATTCAACCACGTTAGATGAACAGGTAGCTAGCAGTGTTTTAGTAACTGAATGACAAGACAAAAGCTATCCTTTAAGGCAAGGCAGACATCTCAGCAAGCTCACTCAGTGCAGATCAAAGCAAGTAATATGCTGCTTTTGAAAAGGCTATTAATCTTTGGCACCTATTTAATTGCTTTTCAGGCAACTTGACCCTGGTTTATTTTTTATTTTCTTTGCCAGTATGAGAGGAGCTAATTTAGTTCTAATTCACATGCAGGACTCAAACCTAGTTTTGAGACATTGCTCATTATATAGATATTGCATGTATATTATATTATATTCCCACAATGCCAAAGATAAAGTGAGCTCAGAAAAACCCAAACTGAATACATGACTCCAGGCTGTTTGAATAAGATTGGGGGGGGGGTGTGGGGGTGTGAACGACACAGTGCTGCCTGGAGCTGTTGGCTTCACTGCGGTGTCAGCCAGGTCAGAGGCTGCCCCCAAACACACCTCAATGCTGCATAGTCATGTGATCTGGCCAGCCTCTTAATGTCACAGGCCAGCTGAGGTGAGGCACCATGTCCCCAGGAACGGTCACACACCTCCCAGGCCGTAACTTCTGCCGCTAAACATCTTTGCCCATGAAATGGAGAAAGAAAAACAATGTACAGCCTGCTGAGTGAAAGCTCTCAGGCTAAGCCCGATTGCAAAGGACTCAATTTATTTAAATTTTGATGAAGTTTCTCCGTAATACATGTGTAATCAATCGAGTGCTCCGAAATCCCTAAAAAGCTGTCGGGGGAACTCCAGATATTCATTTATCTTTCACACACGGAACTGGACTCAGCGCAGTGAGAGGCGGTGAAGTTATTTCTGCTGAATTTCACAGTGGCGTGGGCTTCCTTCAGTCAGCCCAAGGGGATGGGGCTTCAAGGGAGGGGTGCAACTGGCAGGAGCCCCAGTGCCAGCCGGGCACAGGCAAATGGGGGGGGGGGGGGGGGGGGGGGGGGGGGGGGGGGCATGGTGCATGCTGGAGGGAAAGCTATGGGAGTCGGTGCCTTGCAGACAGACTGCTGGCTCTGCTGCTGTAGCCATGAGCGGGGATTCGGTCTGAAGAGCGGCAGCGCATGTCCAAGCTGTGTGAGTGGATTATAAAAAAAAAATAGTAAAAGAGCAAATTATCTAAGCCTCTTCTGATACACGCACTCGGGAGCGAGCGGCCTGTCCCCATGGCGACCAGCAATCACTGCAAACTGCCGCCAAGAGACCCTCCCGGGGCGACTGTTCCGATGGCGGATTCTTTACGGCCGCCTCTAAGGTCAAAGATGCCCTATGAGCACCGTATGAGCTCAAGATGTGCAGCTGGTCTTGCTGTAGAAATAAGCAGAAAGAATTTGGGGTCCCAAGTCTCCCCCAGCCATGTTTGCTGTATCTAAGATACAGATTAAAACTTAGGTCTATTGACGGTGCCTTAAGTGCAATTCAAAGTGCTTCGTTTTGAGAAATATGATGGAGGCAGTGCCTCTTAGGGCGTGCTCTTCCAGTTAACACGCTCTAAACATCAGTCGCCAGTGCCGCTGGCCAGTTTGCCCAGAGGCGTGGGGGTAGACGGTTCTCGTAATCCCTTTCCAGACCAAAAGCCAGGGCATCCTCGCTCACCATCATCCACTCTTCTGAAGTAGATGATGAGACCAACTGAACCCAAGGTTGCCATGCATTTCAGACAAACCCAGAGAGTCAACATGCTGGGCTACACATGCTTAGGGACAAAAGCACAATGCTGGTCAATTTCCTTATCGGTTTTCCACCCGTGGGGGGCGCAGCAGGAATTTTTCCCACAAAGCCACTGAATTGAACCAAATGCTTTAACTATGATAAAACACATTTTAGAGTGATCACATTTCGCCCCTAATAGGGGGATGTGGCTCTTCCCTAACCCTCACCCAGGGGGTCATCCCTACAAAAGACCGCCCAAATAGTATCTTGTGGGGGTATTCACATATTCTCGTTATTTTGGGGCAGTTTCAAGTTAAATTACCAATCCCATAACTTTTAGTTTTAGAGCTTCCAAATCAGCCTGGCACCAAAATGGAAGCTGTGCACATTTTCTTCTTGAGAGGACCCAGGTGGCAGTGAACAGGTCATTCTTGCATCTACAGGTGTAACACCCCAGTGACCTCAGGAAGTGAACACACTTGCAGTGGACAAATGCACAATTTATCAAAGGATGCATCAGTTATTACAGTGGTGGACTTCATGCTGTCTGAGATGCACCCTTAGGGGTGACTACTGTTCCCTTATCGAGACACGAAGTGCTCACTGGCCAGTGGCTATAGCTTAAGCTCTTGTCCTTTTGCTCTTATCTGAGTCTGTCTGCCCCCCAGCTCACAAAGCTCTGCTCTCAGCTTCTACACGCACACAGTTGATCACATGTAGGACATTTACACTTTCACACAGGGCATTGATGCCTTTAGGTTCGTTTTGTCGTGACGGCCCAGAACGAACATTTCAAAATCTTTATTCATGTACCGCTTGTGGCTTTGAGGATGACTATATATATATCCTAATTTTGGGATACATGCCCAGAGAGTCTGCACATTGCCTAAAGGAAGCTTTTCTTGATTACTGGCCAAATACAGGAAATGGACCAAGCAATGACAACACACGAGAAAAAAAAAAAGTGGAATGAAATTAAAAAGCTGCGGTCAAAAATAACGAAATAATAACAAAAAATGCATTCAGGACATTGGACATTTACAAGCACAAAGTGCACAATGACGGTTATTTACAAATACACAGCAGTCCTTCAAGTCAAGTTATTGAACAAAAAAAAAATTCATAATATAAAGACAGGTAAAAGACGGAAACGGGGCCACGTTGCTCCAAAGATGACAGTTAACATATCCACGCTTCCCAAATCCGAAATGTGCGTGTGGGAGTGTGTGAGTGTATGGGCCTGGATTTTTTTCTTTTTTTACATACATAAAGGTATTTCACTACTAATATTTTTACACTAATACTGGTGGAGGGCGGGGCTTCCCTCTCAAACCCTCAACCAGACCCTTCGTAGGCGGGGTGACAGGCAGCTGTGCACATGCTTGCTCTCTCTCCTTTGCAGGAGGTCTGGGATGCAACGGGTGGGGGCTTGGGGAGTAGGGAGAGCAGGGTTTGGGGGTTGGGGGTCTGCCATCACCAGTCTGCATCCTCCTCTATGTAATAGTCAGGAGTGGAAGTACCATCGAACAGGCCCGGGTCCAGGGACTTGCGCTGTTTTCCTCGGGCGAAGACTCGTGACAGAGAACCCAAGCCCATCTTCTCCTTCTTTTTCTTACGCTTCTGGTCCTCCAGGTCCTCTAGAGACTGTGGCCAGATCAGGAAAGAGGGAAACGGGAGAGGGGGAGAGAGAGAGAGAAAATACCAACAGAGAGGGGGGAAAAACACGAGAGAGAGAGAGAGAATGAAAAGACAAGGTGTCACTGGTGGGCAAGACTCAGTCTGTAGACGAAGATTAAAGTGGATTTCAATCATTATTAAAGGACGAGCTTGAATGGAGGCAGGGTCACACTTACAGGAAGCATGGCGAGAGAAAGAGAAACACATACTGGCCAGCAGGATGAACATTTAACCGGGTCAAAGGTCATCCAAAACTCCCTTAAGCGAGTCGATGCAAAGAAAGCAACAAGCTGCCTCGCTGCGTTGCAACACTGAAAAGTCTGGGCCAGAAAGCCATTCGACTCCTGGTGTAAAAGGAGCTAGAGTGCAACGTAAGCGGTCGTTGGCACAGTCGTAAACGCCACACTGCAGATTTCCCAGCGTGTCGAGTGGGGATATGCACACAACAGCACTCAACATGAAGAGCCAAGCATCCCGCCAACATTAGCCAATGGGCCAACAAACGTGAAAGCAAAAGAACTGGGAGCAGAAGGCAACTGTGGAGGAGCGGCGTCCCTGGAAGCTCTTACGTTGCAGAGAGAGTGCGTCCGGTGCCGTGGGGAGTTGATGTCGCTGGGTGTGGAGGAGCGGTCGCCCTCGGCAGCTGAGGCGTCCGAGATGATGGAGGGTTGGCGTGAGTGACAGGGGCTCACCCTCACTGCCGCTGGGGGCAGGAACACCACCACACTGTCATTTACTGGGCTAACGCTAGGCGATATGCTAGCAAGGCTAACTAAAGCTATTTAGTTTGATACATGCGTTTGTTTCACCTAGCTATGACATTCCCACAAGCTAATCCTGCTAACTGAACGCTCTGTGCCAGCAGTGTAGCTACATTTAACACTCATTGACTTGGCTGACGGTATTCTGCTGTGTAAGGCATAGTGTGATGACATCAGCAACACACCTACACAGCTGGGCAAGACAAAAAATGGCCTGGATGGAAGTTGACAGAAGGATTAGTTAACAAGAATAGACCAGATTACATTACATATTCAGATAAGCAGTTATAATGTATGTCTGAACACAACATTTATGAGTGATCATCCTCCCGGCTATTAGCATGCCAGTGCACTTTTTCTGCAAAATACAATTAATTTGTCATACAGCTTAATACTTTGTTGGTGTTTCTACCATTTGCTGACCGAGGGGCAGATTTCTATCTTTTCACTCAGTCATATAAAGCATAGTTCACATTAAAATACTGCGGTATAAAACATCTGACTCCCGCCGAGAACACTGCTGTGTAAAACATCTGGTTCCCACTGAGGACAGTAATTTAAACACCCAGTTACCATGGAGAACACAGTGGTATAAAACATCCTGTAACCATGGAGAACATAGTGGTATAAAACATCCTGTAACCATGGAAAACACAGTGGTATAAGACACCAGGTTACCATGGAGAATGCAGTGGTGTAACACACCCAGTTCTTTTTAAAAATGCAGTGGTGTAACACACCCAGTTCCTTTTAAAAACACAGTGGTGTAAAATGCCCAGCTTCCATTGAAAACACTGTGATGGAAAACACCCAGTTCCCAAATAAGACTGGGGGGTCCCCACCTTGCCTGTCGGCGGGATGGGGAGTGTGCCCGTGGTACAGCGTCTGCTGGCTCTGCCGGATGGCGGCTGTGAGGGGCAGGTCCGCCTGCACCACCCATTCCTGGTTGCCATTGACGACGGCCTCAGTGGGCATGGCCAGGGAGTGCCGTTTGGGCACGTCCTTAGTGAGCGTTGCCAGGGACTGCTTTGCCTGTGGGAGGTGGTGGGGGAGTGTGGAATAAACATACACAGGATTGTCAGCCTGGGGACCCTAAGGGAACGGAAGCTCAGGAGACTCCAGCAAAATGCTATTTGGACAGTCTTTTGTAAGGATGACCCTCTGGAAGAGGGATATGAATGAGCCTCATCCCCTTTTAGGCATCCAAGAACTTATCAGTTATATGACATTTTGTTGTTGTTGTTGTTCTGAACAATCTGTGTCACACTCTGCCGGCTGACAGGGGAGGTGTGTAGAATGCCTGCCGGCTGTGTTTACTGACAGTGTGTGCAGAGAGAGAGAGAGAGAGAGAGAGAGAGAGAGAGAGCGGACAGTGATGAAGCTATTGCATAACCGTCAACAGCTATAACTGTAACTATCTGGGTCGTCACTGAAGCCTGCGGCTGCCTCCTGGGGTGTGGTGGGATGGGTCTGCATGTGAACCACAGCTGAACTTCATAACACCCAAGGAAGGCCCCAATTCAGCACGCACGTACAGACCACTAGGTTTTAACCTGAAGTCTCAGTCAGAAAGTTGCATCGTTATACCCTTGAACACAGTTCAAATATGCCTGATGAGTTTTGTTTGTGTTTTCAAATAATTGTGCAGTAAAATGACTGCTTGACGGACTGATTGATAGACACAGAGACATGTTGACATCATTCATAGATAGATAGATAGATAGATAGGGCAGGGGAGGAGACAGTGTCTGTGAGTGGAAGGTCTCAGGTTCAAATCCCAGAGGTGGTAGAGTCACTCGGCTTTCACTAAAGAAAAATGTATGTTTCTGTGGGTAAAATTATCTGCTAAATGATCCAATTTAGCCCATTTTTTAGCTACATTTATTGAAATCACTCAGATTAAACACCTTGGTCAAGAGGCTCTTTCTGGGACTTGAAGTGGCCTTGGAGCTAAAAACAAAGCTACCAATCCCCACTAATCCTACGAACAACAACATATGATGCAATAAATAGTACAGCAGTAGAAAACAGACACACAGGCATTACGAGCCTGGGAGCACAACAAGACACTGTCACAGTGCATGGAGGTGAGTCAGTGCACCCAGAACCAGTGAAGAACCCATGTTCATTACATCAAAACCAAAATCAGTGCCCCAGGACAGCCCCGAATAACAGGACCCTACACAACCATAATTACACATGCAGGGAAATCACTTTCTATAGGCACTCCAAACAGTCACCACATCACTCTGCTTGCGTCAGATTGGTTACACCCTGATCACGCCTTCTGATGGAATCCCAAAAATGCAATTATAATTGATGACGAATCAGTTTTGTCATCTCGTTGGACCTGGCAGGGTCTCGAAGGAGAGAACCGGTGCTTCATTTATCATGCCCAAGATCCGGTCCAAAAATAAGCAAGTGCAAGATCAACCACAAATGGGTTAGGATGACCGGCAGACAGCCACCTGTTAGTGGACAGACGTGCAAATTGAATTCCCAGACTCTCCAGCTGATCACTATACACTGGGAGGTGGGGGCAGGGGTGTTCAGAGCAAGTCCAATCCCAGGCTGAAAGGGGGAGGGGGAGGGGGGAGTGGGTAAGGGGGCAACTGGTCTTACCGCCTTGGCCCTAGGTGAGGGCTCCTTCTCCACTGGGCGATCAAACACCCGGTACTCCATTTTCTGAGCCACACAGTTATTTATCTGAGGAGACAAGCCACACGCACACACACACAGACACACGCTCACGCTGAAGGTCCACCAGTGACAGGCAGCTTCCGCCAGAGTCCCGGCAGCATTAAAAAAAATAAAAATAAAAAAACTGACACAAACAAGGAAGGGATCACAGGCCGGCCTCCTCCGAGACTCAAATACTATATGCTCGAGTACCTGTGTCTGCAGTAACAGCAGAGGCTATGGCAACTCACTGGAGCAAGTCTGAGGGCAGACTCAGAGCTCGTTAATGAACATCTTACATGTCAGGTGTGTTTTTTAGCTTGTGGGGGGGGGGGGTTTCTCCTGCTTCGGTTGCTCAGCTGGAGCTCGAAGGCTTCTAGGACTGGTGCGTTTCTCGCAGGTGGGGGGCCGGCATGATAACACTGCAGAGAATGTTGGGTAAACGGGGGCATTCTCTCAGGCTGACTGGGAGCAGAGGGCCCAGCAGAGAGATGGGGGTGGCCTGAGAGAATCGATCTCCCCCGAAACACCTGTGATGGGTCTGTGGGGGGGGGCGCTGCTGCCCACAAAGAGGGAGGCACATTCCTGCAGGCTGTCGCGGAGTAAGCAGTGTCTCTGTATGGCTGCTTTTCTCTCTTAGTGTGTGTAGGTTGTGCATACATGCATTTAAATAAACAGGAGGATTCTTGGATTTTTTTAAGTTGGGGCCATAATAGAGGACCAGCCTTATTAGCCAGTGATATGTTTTGAATTGATGAGTGACAGGGGGCGGAGCACACTAGGAGCCAATAAGGTTTCAGATGGGGCCAGAGGCCCCGTGGCCCCGCCCCTGTATACACCCCCGTTCAGTTTGCATTTGTGTGTGTATGTTCTTACCATGGCCAGCTCGGCCTCTAGCTCCTTGATGCGGTTCTCCTTCAGGTCCAGCTGGCTGCGGAGCGCCCCCGCATGCTCCGTGGCCTCTTTGGTCTGCCTCCGCAGGTCCCACTTCTCTCTCTCCAGAAGGTCCTTCTCCTTGGCCAGGGCCTTCACCGCGTCCTCACTCTCCTGCGGGATGCACCTCCGGCTCCATCAAAGGGACACGAGTCGCAACCTCAAAAGCTACTGCCTCTTAAAAAACCCCCCCCAAGGTCAGCAGGCAGCGCTGTTCACGGCGGTGAGTCACATCCCAGAAAATTAATGCCATCCATTCTCTACATTAACAAAAATTAGCTCACCTCATCTTTTTTAATTGAACTTCGCTTTAACTAAGATTCTGTTAGAGCCTTTTAGATTTACAGTGAGTTAATGAATACTAAATTAAATTTGCTATCAGTTAATTATAGAAGTCTTGGTCACAGGGAGGACTATGATATCAGCTGCCTGTGCGCTTCTGTTGTTTTCTGGCAGACTTGGCACTAGGGGGCGCTATGAGGGCGAATCCCATTCACCCGCACTGTGGATTGATGTTGGGTTCGAGGCCTACTTTTCTGTGCTGCTCATAGTTGCGGATGAAGTCCCTCAGCTGCTCCTCGCGGCTCTCCAGTGTGGTGTACAGCTGCTGCATCTGGTTCACCAGGTCGGCTTTCTCCACCTTCAGACGTTTGCGATCCGCCTTCATCGCTACAGGCAAAGAGGACCGGGCTCCGTCAGTCAAACCACCTCAGGCAGCCCCTTCCGTGTCCCTCATGTCGCCAGCTTCATCCTGCCTCAAACCTAATCCCGTCCCACGTGTCTCCAGCTTCATCCTGCCTCAAACCTAATCCCGTCCCACGTGTCTCCTGGCAGCATTCAAATTGAGAGGGTTCTGGGGTCTCCAGGGACCCTCTCCCCTTAGGAGAGAAAAAAGGCACCTGGGGGTGGGGTTCTCTTAAAATGACCAAGATTCAGTGTCACCCCCCCCCCTGCCCCGCCCAAAAGTGTCAACTATACTGAATTAAGCTGGGAGACCTTGATTCTACCTTTATTATGGACACTTGTTGTTTGATGGCATTGTTGAACTGCCAACCAGGGAACCGCAGGCTAATCCCACCCTGTCCCACACCTTGCATGAACTTCCCTGCCATTTCCTCTTGTGATTCCCATGTTGTGCAGAGACCGAACACCAGATATCAATGCTCCTCATTTCAATTTGATTCCATTAAAAACATTTCACTCCTCAACATGGTTGAAGACTTGATCGCATGACAAGAAGACCAGCCACAGGCAAATTTATGAGGAACACAACCTCAAGGATTTTTATCTTCTGAAGTACATACACTCCGTTTGTAAACTCCATCCATATTCACAAAATAGAATTGTGTAGATGTGTGGGCTTGTAGGACATAGTGTGCAAGCAAATTGTTCTGACAGCAATATCACATCACAAGCAGGGAACCCGTGTTGCAAAATGGAAATTACAAGGATGGGTGGCGTGCAAACAGGGTGCAAACACAAAACTGAGCCAACATGCTTTTTAACGAATGAGGATTTCGATCTAAATGCACCCCTTTAATGTCACACGCTTCATCTCTCGGCAGGACACCAAGATCAGACCATTCCAGAAGTTCCACCTGATACTCTAAAACCACTTTTGGCCTCTGACATATCAAGATTAGGTGTATTCAAAATCTGAAAGGAAAATTACACGAGACATTCCTCTCATTAAAACTCGCTATGCTAGGGTGCTCCATCTTTTAAACCTTTTACTCTAAGCCCATATTCAGTTAAATGTCAGCTGCTCAAAACAGAATCACTGACTAAAGGTTTGTAAGTGTAAGAGTTAAATTGCACATATTAAATGGAGAGCGATCACAGAGAAAATCCCTTTTTAGGTCCCCATGCCTCATGGGTGATAATAGAAGCAAATGAAATAAAGAAACTGTTACATTAATATCTTTGTTCTTGGTAGCTTGCCCTACATGACGCACCATTTTTATCAATTTGTGCGTGAGGGCAATCTGAAGTTACTTAAGTGAAGCAGATCTCAGCCGTGGGGGGTGTTTCTCCAAAGGGCCCCATGCCCTTCTTTCTCTCGCTGAACATCTGAGCGACCTACTGACTGCCTCCACTTTCCACGTTTGCAGTGGAGGTCTGGGGTGTTCCTCGATACTAAGATCTCAAAAATAGTACTTGTGTCGGTCTTGCTCACTTGCCTCCCAAGAACAAACTTGGGGCGCAATGAATCACGGGATTGGTCTTGCTTGGCGAGGATGCAACTGTTGTGTCCTTGATGTTTGGGGCGGAGCAAGAACAACATCTGGGGCTTTTTACCTTCCTCTGTACTTCTGTACTTCAGTTGTTGAGTATTGGAACTGGACTTCAGCAATGGAAGATGACGTAAAATGGGGACACGAGAACACAAGTACGGTCAAGTATGCGTGAGTAACGCCCCTGCTGTGGTGTGGCAGAGGAAACTGGGTGGAGCAGGTGACGCAGGGGTCAAAGGTCAGCCCAGACACTAAAGGGCAGCCCTGAGGCTGTGACTCAGCTTCTACGTTAAGCTGTGCTGCATAAACGGAAGGATTCAGCACTATCGCTACCACAGCTGTGCGTATGAAGCACATAACATGTTCCTGGCTGATAATAGTAGGATTAGAGGAGCCTCAACTATCACCTGGAACAAATGACAACACTACCAAACTTTAGCCTGGTGCTCTGGCGCTATCAACCACCTGTTATTCTGATTGCCTAAGAGGTCATTTTACGCGAAGAGATTTTCAAGGGTGACACTTTCAAGCTTAAACCACTTAAACTGTTAATTACTGTCCTGGTCTGATATGCCCCTCCCCCTCCTGTGCCATGTAACCATAGAGAGACATGTGACAGACACTCACCCCCACTGCTCTGCCAGTACATGGGCATTTGGGGACCTAGGATGGGTTTCTCAGTGGTTATAAATAACGTATGTTCCTCACAGAAGACTTGAACAAATGCCATCCCTCTGGTTACATGCCTTTTCCTCAAATTCTGGTCAAATTCTGGAATGCTGGGAAGTAAATCATTACTGTTAAGACACAGACAGAAGAGAGACAAAGAGACAGAGAGACAGACAGACAAAGACACAGACAGACACAGACAGACAGATAGACAAAGCACATTCTATGTGTGTTTTGCTGGTCAGTGAATGTTTCTGGAAATCTACCATAACCAAACACAGCAACAGACACTCTTGCAAAAGGTCAAAAGACTCATATAAAAAATGTTTAGGCCAAAGAACGCCTCTCAACACCAGTGATTAAACTTCAGAACACAATCAAGTATTACTTTATTGCCTAATTTTTGGTCTAAATTAACTTACAGTTCGACTCATTTATTTGGCTGCTTACTGAAGCTTACATCACTGTGGTATTACTCTCCTGCCCAGACACTGCGACTGCAATGTCTGCAGGGAAAATGAACAGACAGGCCTCAAAGCTGACTTCCTGTCTGCAGAGTGCCCATCACACTGAGGGCCGATTAACTTCTCTAGGGGCCCTAGGCAGAGCAAGAGCAAGAGCAATATTTTTTTTGTAGCCGAAAGAGAAGAGATGCAACATCAATAATCCACTAATCACTGATTGGGGGGGATGAATGCCGGTGGTAAAATTTAATGACATTTTCCTGGGGCCCCAAGTCAGAGCCTGGGATAGGCTATGCAATAAACCTCCCCAGGACCACAAACAAAATCCAGAATTTTCAGCCCACGCTCTAGACAGCCGGAGCCTGGTTTTCCTCAGCAATTGCATCAATGGTTTAAAGGATGAAGAGAGACAGTATTTTAAGAGTTCTTCATACATAAAACGTGGAAACATTAACAAACTAGAAGTTTCCCAGAGGCAATGTTTAAGACTTAAAAACTAAATATTTGGGTTCCTCTTAGTGGATGTTCAGTGGCCAGAGTTAACCGGAACTTCCACAGGGAGATACAGTGAAACAGGTCAATTTCCGCACAGTGCAAATGTTTGTCCAAATGAATTTAAAAATAAGTCAATTTAGGATTCATAATTTATTTCTTGTGGTGGGCTGGATTAACTATATTAGAGTAGTGAACAATTTTGTTATGAGGACAGAGCATATAATTGAAATGGTTCTAAATCTAGTTACAAAATTCAATTTAAATGCTGCTTAATTAAATAGAAAACTGCCTCCATTATTAATTAATACTGATCCACTTATGGGGTCTAATAAGAAAAAAAGGCATTTCATTACAGCCAGCAATGAGCAGGGGAACGATCACCATAGTCATCCTAACATAGGAACCCAGTGTTAACTTCACAGGTACTGCGATATCCATGTACAGTATGGTGTTTATTTAGACTGCGGGTTAGGACGCTGTCTGTGACCGGAAGGTCTTAGGTTCCAGTCCCATCTGGTTACAATCCCATGGTCGACACGGTTTCACTGCTGGGCCCTTTATCAGGGCCCTTAACCCAGTTGCTCCAGGAACTGTCTGATCCTGCTTTTTCTGTTGTATATCGCTTTGGATAAAAGCGTCCATTAAACAAATTAATACAAGCAGCACAAAAAGCCAGAAAGAGAGGGGAGAGGAGTCAAAAAGTCCTTTAACATTACTGGTAATTCATAATGGTCACTGCTTCCCTCCGAGGCACGTTAACGCTGTTATGGAACGACAGAAAGTCAGAAAGCAGTGGGTGTTTGAGTGGAAGGTGAAGGATGGAATGTTGCTCCATTTCTCAGCTCTCCAGACAACCAGAGATGGTCAGCAGGTGGGCCGACCATGAAGCTGTGAACGTTTCAGGAATGAAGCTCTGAGCTGAAACACCAGCATGCTTCTGTACCTTTCGGAGAGGTACATTCATATACTAAACTCCGGATCATCCTCATCAATACCATCATCTGCATCATCGGACATTTCCGAAATTGTAGTGGGATTTTGGACCATTGTTCACGAAGAAAAGCCTCTGTCTTTTTGAGGGATGACAGAGAGGTAGAAATCTATTGACATTCTGTGCTCCAGAACTTCCCATTAATATTCAGTGACATTTAAATCTGGGGAAGATGTGGAGTCTGACCTCACTCAGGAGTTCATGAAAACATCCTTGCATTTTTTAGCCTTGTGTATGCAATAGGGCCCCGTGCACTATATAACAGTGTGATAATCTGGATATGTGTGCATGTGTAATAATCACCACGGCCTTAGGTAAAGGCAATAAAAATTCGCCCCAATGCCAGATTGTCGGTACTATTTGGAGGTTTGGTTACGCCCACAATTTGAGAAGCAGATTAGTAATACGCACATCCATTGTGTGAAACCGCTTATTCTGTTCAGGGTCGCGGGGGGAACAGAGCCTATCCTGGAAGCTACAGACACGAGGCAGGGAACAACCCAGGATGGGGCACCAACCTATCGCAGGGCACACACACCATTCTCACGCACACACGCATGCATCCACACCTATGGTCAATTTGGTAACTCCAATTAGCCTCAGGATGTTTTTGGACTGTGGGGGAAACCAAGAGCACCCACAGGAAACCCCACGATGACACAGAGAGAACATATAAGCTCCACACACGGAACCCCGGAGACTCAAACCCAGGTCCCAGAGGTATGAGGCGACAGTGCTAACCACTGCCCCACCTAAAATATTATTAGCATAAATTCGACGTAACCTTATGTTTAATAAACGTGTCGGACTTTAAACTGCAAAAAAGTACCGTCACACCACCAACGTCTTTTTGCCTTGTTTATCCACATTATCTCCTCTTTTAAAAGACGTAGCTGCTGATCTGTCCCTTTCTTCGCCGCCACTTCAGTGCTTATTCCTTCCATGATTTACCAAAACGGTACCATGTGGTGTGCTCCACTAACTGAATTTAAAAAAACATTAGGACACCCCAGATTTATTCAGATTAGTAACTTGGGTGTCATACTACGCCTCTCATTAATATTTTAGGCGCACTACTAATCTGCTTATCAAATTGTGGGCGTAAGTAAATGTCATTTTAGTTTAGGAAAGCTGGCGTCCGGACAGACATTTACCGTACGCCCGTCATCTGAAGCCCTGGTGATTATGGTGCATCCGCCACATAAACGTGATTCTATCGCTGTGTTATATAGTGCAGCCAAAGTATATGGGCATTATCATGAGGAAAGAGTGTTTCCTACTCAGAACACACCTGTTCCTATAAAATTGCCTCAATTTGGGACCCATTAGTCCATGTTACTTTTTCCTGGTTTTTGTGCTCCTTTACACTGGGTTATGTGTGATACAAGTGGATTCTGATTTGTAGCCCTGCCATAAATTGTAGCTTTGTGAAGCTCACAATATATAACTCTAGCTGTGACTGGATCACGGAGGTACTCATTCAGTTCAGCAGTCATTTTTGAGGCTGTACTTCTGTGGTGTTTATTGACAATCCAGTTAAGCGTCTGTCTGTCCCAGGCGCCCAGCTTCAATCACTGTGCCTCAAATGCAATTGTGCATTTGACAAATGCTCTCACGAGTTTTGAGACTGTTCCCCTGGACACATTAAATCATTTTGCAGTTTTTGTAATCAATGTACTGGCAATTGAGGGACCAATCCTTCAGAGCTGTGCACAACATGAAAACTCATATATCAAGCCGCTGAATATCATACCTCATTTATAGCTGAGACGTATTACTAACTGGTAGTCACAATAATATAATTCACCTTTGTAACCGCATTTGTAATTGTCATTTAGTTGCTTTTTCATGTGATTTATCCTTTAGAAAACAACGAATGATTGGGCCCCCTACCATCTCAATCACATATAAACACACACCTACTCATTACACCACTGTACTACATAATTAAAGGTAATCTTCACCCTTTCTGATTGTTTGGAAGCTCTTGCGCACAAAGTTGCAGAACAACTCCCATCTCTGAGCCGAGAGAAAGATTCAGCTATTAGTTTCCCCCAGGGTAGGGAGCATTATAGGCCAATCACAGACTATGCAGGAATCACCCGCGGGCAGGATTATCGTCCCCGAAGGTGGTGACTCACGGATCATCGCCATACTTCACTCCCATGACCTACCATCCTGATCCCCCCCCCACTGTAATCGCGCCTGCACTGCCACATGCTGGTCACAGCAGGAGTGTAACGCACCCGGCGCGTGCAGCTAATGGGAGCGCCCCCTGCTGTTTGCACGCTGTGCTGCGTGCTCGTCACCCACACTCCACCTCCAGGCCCATGACAGCTGTTCTGGGGAAATCGACGTCTGAAACCAGATACAATCTTAAAGAATGGCAAATAGGTTAGGGAGAGATCACTGGATGGATGGACTTGGGGGAGGCTCGGGGTGCTCTGGTGTGCCCACCCAGTGATGGATTGGCATCCCATCCAGGGTGTTCCCTAGCCCTGTGCTCTGGGCTCCCTGGCACAGATTCCAACCTCAGTGTGCCCCTGTACGAGATCAGCAATTACGGAGGATGCATGAATATGTAGGGGAAACAGTCTACAAAATTAATCGCAATTAGCATAAATTACCTGAAATTATGGTATTTTGAGGGCAACTAAAGTAACTGGAGGCTCCTGTACAGGTAGCCTACATGACCTGAGCCAATTAACCTATGACCCAAATGAGCAAGCTGCTTCAGCAATGACATCAGGCAAATGTACAGTAATAAACCTGAAATTATAGCCTGTGGTTACTCCTCTGTCAGACACATATCCAGCACTGGTAGGAAGCCTTTTGAGGAAGCTTCTGCTTATTCCATGGAAGACATGGCCCTACAAATCATCAACTGGACACAAATCTACTCCTGTCTGACTGAACAGTGCACACTACATCAACACCCGACGCCAGAGAACTGCATGCTGGCAAAATTCAGCTTGGATTGTGTCTTGCTGTCCGTGTAGCGCCGCTGAAACATCGCAGTGACTGAAATTCCCACTGAGGCAATCAACACAGGCAGCCATGGTGGAGAACAAAACAAAGAGCAGAGCCGTCCTGTTCTTTGGGAACAAAGGGATGAGAGGGACAGTCATCAAATGACTACAAAAGGCCCTTTCTTGTTCAACAGTCATGGCCAGTTCAGTAACGTTCAAGCCAAGCTGCAGATCGTCATGTAAATGTTCACGGTCGGCAATTAAAGTCTCACAGGAAGCTTAAACTCAGAGAGATTTCTCTTCATTCTGTTAAATGAGGACTTTTGTGTTGCCGTTTGGCGAGTGGCTCCCAATCTGCTTTGAAAGCTGCCTTTAATCTGGCCGCCACTCTCAGCATTTGGCTTGCTTCATGCCAAGCGTGCCAGTCCGCGAGGTCGAGGGAAGATTCTTGGGCATGGTGGAGTCTCTCGCTCATTTGCATTGGGGCAGTATCAAATCAAAAAACTTTATTTGTCCCCGAGGGGCAGTTTGAGGAATTCCCCAGTAGTCGATTTCAAGTCAAGATGAATCAGTTGCTTTTCCCTTTTCTTTCCACTAGAAACCTCCATCCAAGCACTTCCTGTACCCGCTTTGTTCTATTCAGGGTCGCAGGATTCCGAAGCCAATCCTAGAAACTATGGGCGCAATGCAGGGTATCACCTGAGATGGCACGTTATAACAATTTGTGTAAATATTTCTAAGCCTTTCAATTACAGTTCAGAAAAGCTAAATTATGTCTGGAGAAATTCATTTAAGATGGCTGCAATCATACCTGATTGGTAGAAAGACTAGGTCAGAAAGCAAGACCGGACTTATGCACAGGCTGTAGCTGTGTTGTAGCCCATAGTTGCAGAGGGCACCACATGATTTCTCTGGTTGTTACAGCACTGTTTTATGCTGTAGGCATGGATCTCTAAATTCGGCCCTGGTAGACGGACATCATCTCCATCACATTGCACCATTTACATAACCATCGAGTGAGTTAGAGACCATAGAATAAGAATTCACTGAAGTAAAAAGACAACGGCTCGGGGGGGGGGGGGGGGCAGGGGGGTGTTAACTCGGATAGAAGTCTGGTAGAACAAGCTCCATCAGGTCACAAGCTCTCTGGAGTTCAAGCAGGCCTTTGCCGACTAGCCAGATGGAGAACTGCCCCAACGGAAGCCCACGGTAATCAATCTCCATAATTTGTCAAAAACATGCTGCAGTAAACAAAGATGGTGCCCAGTCTGCCTACAGCAGGGATGGCAGAACAAGCAGAGGGCAGATGGTGCGTTGGGACAGGGGAAGAAAAACAGCTGGACCACCACCTCAGTCTTCGCTCTGATGTACACGCGAGAGGCTTTGAACGGGACACTCTCTGCTGCCACCTTTGGGAGGTGGACGTCATAGGGGTGACATCATAGCTGAGCATCATACCGGAACAGCTTATTGGACGATCCACGGAGCTGAGGGGTCACCAACGGACACCCTCCAGTGAGGATTCCCTCTGCGCACTGTGTCATTAATCTCATTCTGTTTCCTACGACTCAAAGTTCTATTTCCCAGAAAAAGGAAAAAAAATTAAATAAACAAATTAGCAGAAATAAAACATTAGGCAACAACACTAATTTAATTTGCCCGCCTGTGCGCTCCCTCTTCATAGCAGGTCACGCTAATTCTTTTAAACGTCTGCAGACCTTGTAAGCCAACAGAATAAGTCTTAATTCCACTTTCATTACTAGCATAACTAGCCTATTGCTGCCTGCGGGGTGGGGGGGGGGCTGTGTGTTCTGAACCTCATAACAGACCACACTGAAGGTTCATTGAGAAATATGACAACCAGTGATCCACTGGAACAGAAAGGCAAACTCATGGCAGCGCCCACTGGCATGGAAATGGGCACAGCATGGACACAAGGCATCAATATGCGGCGACTTTCAGTACGGCAGGTTCCTCCTGTATGACACGGCAGCACAAAACCAGGACAAATTACAGGGCAGGGCAATAAACAAGGGACAAAGTGCATCAATACAGGCGCAGTGAGAGATGGGAAGTGAAGAATGAAAGGGGGACGAAAGGAAGAATGGGGTGTGATGAATTAAAGGGGCGGGGAGTGAGAGATGGAATAGGGCAAGGTGACGGGTGAGAGGAGTTAAAGGGACGGGGACGAACCTTGCAGTGCCTCTTTGGCGCGGTCCAGCTCCTGCTCCTTGTGGACCAGCTGCACCCGGAGCTCGGTGGCTGAGAGCAGCTCGGGGGAGCAGCCGCTGTGCGGGTCCTCCAGCTCCTTCGTCAGCACCTCCTTCATCTGCCTCAGCAGGTGTACCTCCTCCTGGAGTCGCGCCACCTCCTCCCTCAGCAGTACTGGACACGGGGGGGAAATGAGGTGAGTGTCAGGTGGCAGAAAACCAAGAGAGAGCCGACTCAACGAGGAGCCTGACCAGAGACTCAGAAGCGATCTTTAAATTTTTTTTTTTAATTCATATACAGGGGCCAAAATTTTCATTAGCCAATGATGTGTTTTGAATCGGTGATTAACAGGGCAGGGGACATTCTGTGGGCCAATCAGCTTTCAGCTGGGACTGGTGCCCCTGTGGCCCCGCCCCTGTATACACCCCTGTAGAGACTCCCTTTCATTCCCCAATATAGATATACTGATATCATCATCTCTCTGTGGATGAGATGGCTATTCAATACATACAAGATGGCGAGTCAATAGGGGGAGGCAAGCTAATTAAACATGCCTCTAATGTTATATAACAAACATTAAACACAATAAGAGTTAACATATTAGAAATTAACCTGAGAAAAGGTAAACAACAATGGTCCGGGGGAAAAAAAGCAATAGAAAATCCCACAAGGATGGAACGGCCATGTTTGTTCGCTTGACACTTGATCGTGATGTTTGTATTGCTAAATATGAGCCGTTTATGGTGGAAAAATAACCACAGCTGCTGGTTTAGGGTTTCTGTGAGGAATGTACGGATGTTCATACAGAAGCACACCATGTGGGCACAAAGGCAATCCAATGACGCTGCTTATCCTCGCTCTGAAACTGTAAATCCACAGGTATCCGTGTTCTATTCTTCAAAATGATTTCATGTCTAGCAGACTGAACAATGAATTAATGAATTGCTTTAGTTAATGAACGGTGAAATTAACGGATAGCCGTCAAGCTGGGAATGGCAACCGCAATCGCTGAAATGTTTGTAGGGGGATTGACAAATTTGTCAAAACATATAAAAATAAGCCGTGCGCCCCATGGGTGACGATGAGCCTCACCTCTGCACTTCCTTCGTGTGCTTGAGTGATGACGCAAAAATGCAAAATGACAGTGGACAAACCGAAGACCCACACTGCAGTCAGACAGGGACCAACTGGACCCAGACACTTGCTTAACAGCAATCCCACTGCACTCATCTGTATAAAATGTATTAATCTGTGAACAACAACCACCACTCCCACCAAACCCATATTCTCACTATGAGAGTATTTACATTTTTTAAACACCCCACCAGAGGCTTGACGTCTTTCACTTGACTGCGGTTAAATTTCGATCGCGGCACTTATCACGCTTGACTGAGTACTTATGCTTTAAGCATCTGTGCAATCCAGCTACAGCACCCATAGTGAACAAGTGAGATCTGTTTGCTATGCTGTGCCACAGAATCAGAGGCGTTTTTCTTTTTTTAACAGCTCATCCAAATAAATGTTAACATTTTCAGACACACATTTAGATTCTCCCGAGCATAATGTCCATTTCATAACCCTCCCAGCAACATGGACACTGAACGATACTCAAAAACAGCAACTGAACATGAAAGATCCCAGTAAACAAGCTGCGCCCATATTTACAGGGATAGTGTGAATGACACAGGATGGGGGCTGCATTAGATGCATGAAATCTCACGCGAAATGCATCTTGTTATCTTCAGATAACCAGCCAGTAGTACTGCAATCAGGTTTAATTATCTCTTGGTCTCCAGGTAGCAAAGGAGGGGGAAATTGTTGTTTGCCAAGGGCTTAGTGGAAACATAGCCGCTTTGGCAGTGAGTTCACGTACAACATGAGAGCATCTGAAGGGCTGGGGTCGCCCAGGCTGTGACTTTTCGTACGGCATCGGGGATAAGAGGACAAACTTGTTCATCCCACTCAACCGCGGGCGATGAGAGGATGCAGGAGAGAAACGCCAATCAACGAGGTTCAAGTGTCACTTGGAAAATGCATCGCCCATCCATTGTGGGTGCGTTTTGTTGTTGGTATGGCTGTGGGTTGGGCTTTCTGTGGTGAGCTGAATCCACTACCTCACTCCAGAAACCATTCCAGGATAATTATGTCCATGCCAGACGGTTGCTCGGCTGAAGAGGTGTATCTGGTGATGGCGAGCCAAACTCGTGGCAGTCAAATGACACTTTACTGGTGTCACGAGGTCCATAACGTACCACAACAATACATCCCATGACATGGCACTGGCTTGGATGGGGCTGGCCAGGTCCTCATCCCATCAGCATGGAGAAGCTGGAATGTTTTTCTGGCCCTCAACCATCTAGTTTTTGTTAGTTTTTATCTATACTGGTACTGAGCTATGTGATCTGATATGGACCTTTCAGCACCAGCATTGCGCCCAGTGGACCCCGGCCCATCTATTGATCTCCAGTACGTGTCAGACTCCGTCCACAGCTAAGTACCACAAGATGGCCACCAACTGGATGCCTGTTGACTGGTGGCACTATCATTCATCAAAACGCAAAAGTGGTGAACTAGTGTCTGGACCAGGACAGGCCTGGAGTTCACCGCTCTGGCCCTTTTGAAGGCAAGCTGATGTTCATTCTTGTCTCTAATGCAGAATCTCAGGGCACCTGCCCACCTCGCTTTAAATAGCAGAGCAGGAAAGGGGGAACCTGTCACTGACTGAACAACTCACCCTCTGAAGAAGGGGAGTTATAACTAATAAAACAAGACTACTCAGCGTACTCTGGCATTACACAGAAATACACACATACAGCGAGACGAGCACAGCGCCAGGAATCCCGAGGAAAATAGAAGCTCCCCTTTTTCCGCGAATCCTTCAGTCGCCACATGTCACCGTTGGCGCCGCAGTGATACACCGACCGCGTGTGGGTTTCAGAACCATGAAGGAGACACGCTGTGTGTGGTGAAGCTCAAGACTTTCATCCTTACAGGAGATGGGATTGGACACTGGAGAGGGAGGGAAGTCGGAGAAGCACCCTCCAGAGGGGCCACGGTGTTGGGCGTGCGGGGGCCTGCTCTGGGTGCCGGGCATTCTTTGAGTGCAGGAGATGGGGGGCAAAATGCACATGTCAGTGTCTGGTCCCACTATGGGCAGTGATGATTGCAGTAGTTCCATAACCTACAGCACCGCAGGACGTAAACCCCTCCCCCCCAGCTACTCAATCTGTCAACCCCCCTCCACACTCCGGTAACACTGTACTTGATGGGGCATAAATACTTAATAACAACTCAATTACCAACAAAGTACAAATCATGAACAAATATACAGTAGTTACTACTTGCAATAAAAGATTCATCACGATTCATTAATGATGAACTAACATGAGATCAGTATTGCACTTTTGTAATTCATGACTTGTTCCTTCAGAAGTTCACAAAGGTTTACAGAATTAACAGATACAGTAACAAACATAGTAACTGCTTGGGATAAAAGATGCATCATGATTCATTAGCGATGAACAAACATGACATCAGTATGCAAGACTTAGTTTGTGGTTAATTAATACACAATTAATAGTATAATACTATATTATTTCTGGCCCACCAAGTACAGTGTTACCCAAACCCCTACCTGCTGTCTGTCCCGTGCTTTCAACCTCTCACCCATGGCTTAAAATTAGCAAAACTCTGCTTCTTCTCTCGATTTCCTGACTGCTTTTCTTGTTTGTTTCTATGCTGCGTCGTTCTACTTTCAGTTTCCCCACAATTCCCTATTTTTTCTGCATACTCTTCCTCTCTTATAGTTTCCCTACGAGTTTTTCTATTGCTTTTCTAGAACCTTCCTCTCCTTTGGTTTCCCCTCTGGTTTCTATAATAATTTTCATACTGATTTCTATATAACCACCTCCTCTAGTTCTGATATTGGTTTCTATACTCACTGCTATTCTTCAGATTTCCCACTGGCTTCCATCTGCGTCTCTATAAATCATACCCATGGTTACTATATTGGTTTCTAAGGGACCTGTTCCCTTAAAAAACTTTCATACTTATTTCTTGTGACACTTTATTGTTAGATCATCTCACCCCGGCCCACAGGCTAAAGTAGGGAAGCACTGTGCTATAGCACAGACAGAGGTGGCTACAATCCCCGGGGGGGGCAGTGTGGGGTCACCAAAGCTCCGCCCTTTCGCAGTCTGCTGTGCCATATGAAGGACACACAGAGAAATATGTATAAGTAAATCCCAGGAGTGTCCCCACTCCACAAAGCGGGACCTTGCATTAGTCTAAGCGGGTAATGAGACGCCGGCGGGAGCTTAATGACGAGCCGTCACGCCGCGCCGCCCTCATCCTTGAGAGCGACTGGCCCCATCTTTTAGCCAAGTGGCCCCGCATACAGATCCTGACAGATTATTCTTCAAAGACTTTATTACTCAAAAGCTCAATGACTCGCACTGGGGGTTTGGTGTCTGCCCCCCCCCCCCCCAGGTCAATATGCCCAGAAGCAAGGTCCTAATACCCACCCTGGTGTCTCACATTTACTAGACAGAGGAAGCCTGAGTAGAGACATGGGTGGCAGGGACGGAGATCTTAAGAGCGAGCAGTCAAGCCTCTCACCTGGCTTAGGTAAATACTATTTCTCCACCATTACCTGGCTGCTTTGTTAAAATGTCTGTATCCATGGTGATTTCGACAAGGTACATGTCCATACTAAAGCCGTTTGGAGGGCTGAATAGTTTACCTAAAGTGGCACGTCAAAAACCTTGTGGTACAACATCAGAAGCCAGCACAAACTTGAACTTACGATATGTAGTTCACAGTGTGCTAGCAAGTGGGCAATGGAGAAGATGTCTACAAAGGAAAGCCTTGTGCCTCTGGTCAAGAGGCAACCCAGGATCGAACGGGAAGGACCTGCTGAAAAAATTCAGGCCAAAGCATAAACATGCTAATTGTGCAGGGAAGAGCATTTTTCCTGCGACCCCAAAACAGCTTGGCTTAATGGGGCAGAAATCAGAACCACTGCACAGAAGTTAGCAAGATGGCACTGGGACATTCGTGTTCATGACGTCGTCTTGAACAACCAGGTCACGATTTCTGGTAAGAGATGTTGCTGTTGAAATTTTCAAATGAAATTTTTTGGTACTTTAATCTCCACAGAAAGAAAGCTAGTCACT